CTCTATATGAAGAGTGGTCGATCTGGGAATAGCAGAAATAAAAAAAAACACAATACCTATAAAAGCATATTGGTTTCTTCGAAATGAAGGAATACATAGAGAGATTTGGTGGTAGCAAAAAATCGTTAAATATCAGTCAGATAATCAAATTTGTGATATTTAAAATGATGGGATTAATAAGAGTATTTCTTCATAGTGTGAGAATGGGAGAATCCAAGTGCCAAAGAGATGGGTACTTCGGGATATGTAAAACCGATAACCAATATCACAAAAGCTTGTTAAACAAGTAAAAGCAATGAGTCAAGAAATCCCAGGTACCACACTACATGGTTTTGATTTATGAAATGTATCCCATATTACATGATAAAGTTGTAAAGGGAAAGATTAGTCAATAACTTTTTATTTTAGGAAAACGTTTCTATAAGGATGCTACCTTATAATGTAGAACTTCGAATGCCCCTCAAAAATCCATCAGAAAAAATAGTTTTAATTTTGAAAAACCCTTTGATTGAACATCTCGACATGGAGATGTATGACTATGAAAAATAAAAAGATTTTAAGTTTCAGAAATAGTGTATTTTACAACATATTATCTACACCGTCCATTTTAAGAAATTGAGCTCCCTAATTGAAAGCTTAGAGACAAGGGACCACCTCCTAGCCCGTGTAGGCCAGCCTCGCCATTTGTGCCGAAGCCCCCAGTATTTGAGGGGCCGCACCCGAACCCAAATCCCTTGATTTTGGCTCAAGTGCTACGATCAATAGTAAAAGTGGCACTAGTGCTAGTTTTTATGGGATCAGTACTAGGAGATATAGTGAGACTGGAACTGGGATTAGCACTAATGCTAGCACTAAGGGATGTTAAGGTGGATCTGGGGGTTTCAAAGGTGAAAGTTTCAATTGAAAGTTTACCACTGGTAGCTGAGCCGTAACCGTATTCATAATCATAGTGGCATGATGAGCCACCACATTCGTGGCTATTCTTAAGGTTTTGGCAGAGGATTGAGGAGCAGTTAAGGGAGCGTTATGTCGAAGATGATTTGGGGTCGAAAATTGGCGTATTTTGCTTAAAGCAATTGGAACAAGGGAGGCATTGAGCCCAAGTTAGGTTGCTCCCTGCGTCAGCAATAAGCCAGTATAGCTCTGCAGGGGTCCCGACTCCAACCCTCATGAGGTACCCAAGAGGGACCTGCTTTAACCTCCGAGGCCAATTTTGACGGTGAGTATGTGCCAGTCAGGTTCAAAGTTTTTGAGCCCCTCTAATGTCATTTACCGGTTCAATGTTTGAAATATAGAACCATGGGCAGAAATAGAGAGAGTACGACCTAGCAGTCAAATTACTAAACTTCTGGATCCAAAGGTAAATATAATAATTTTACTCATAAAGAAGAAAAGTAAAGAAGCAAAATAAGTTTGGATACAAAAAAATATTCCATATTTTAGGATATCTTATAGTGAGGTTCAAAGTTTTGAGCTCCTCTAATGTCATTTAACCTTGGTCAGAAATTACTCTTTTGAATGCCTTATACTTAAAAAACTATGCTTCGGCATTTCAAAAGTTGCTTCGAATTGACCAACGATGAGAGGATTTGGTTTTTGACCGGTTCGAACGTTTTATTTTCGAACCACTTAAAATATATATAAAACAAAAAAAACAAATTTATCAAAATATCTACAAGAGATGAATTACTTAACGTTTAACATTTTACTTATTTGCAACTATTCCAACGCAAGATAATGTGTTTTTTTAACAGTAGTTTGAAATTAACTCAACAGATTTGAATAGACTGCTAAATTTTTTCTCTTTTAGAATATTTGGTTATTACCCTACAAAAAAAGCTTGTGTTTTGGGCTGTTTGAAAGGATAGCTTTGGACCACCCAAACACTTAGGGTACGTTTGGTTCTTACGTAAATATTTTTTGGGAAATATTTATATATGTAAATTATGTTTCACATGTCTGGTTCGTTCCAAATGCATATGTAAATATTTTATCATGGTAAAATATTTTACCATGAAAGGGCCAAAACATGGTAAAATAATTCCACGCCTCATGAGATGTGGGAATATTCCCCAGAGAATTTTTGCACACCAAAGCTGAACTATTTTATGAAATCCAATTTATGTTATATTTATAATATACAATATACAACATTTGTACATATTTATACTATATTATATAAGAAATTGAATCATAATAAAATTTTAGATGCGTGTACTAAAAAATAGAGCACACAATTAAAAATATTTTTCAAAATATAAAATGACCGAAATACCGCTGAAAAATGATGGGGTAATTTGGTCATTTCAAATTATTGAAAATAATATTTTCCTATATTTTTATATGGTGTGCAATAGTGCTATGTATATAAACCCAAAATTTCATTTTAATCAGATTTATAGAAAAAAATTAAAATTAGATAGAACCACTCGATGAAGATCTTCCGGCTAGGATTCCAACTATATTACTAGTCATTATAAGCTAGTCGTGGGTAGACAAAGGGCACGACAGGGGATAGGG